AGAGGTGATCACAGGTGTTATTGAAGCTGCGTTCAGCTGTATTTGTAGAGTTTCTAACGAAAGGATGTTTTCGAGACATTGTTGCCCTGGTCCTGTTTCATGTATTACCTGCTTACCTGCTGATTACCTGCTGTGGGAATCGGTGCTTCCCGGGTGCAGTTTAAATGTGCAACTGAAGAGCGATCATTAGTTGTTTTCTCATAACACACATAGAAGTTCACTCGAAGTAATCTCCATAATGTTATATGTTGGACCTCTGTTATGTGTGAATTAAACCTGGTAGTCGCTCCAATAAGTAGAACAGTGCTCAGTAAGCCTTCTACTGGTATCTAGGATCACTTCTCAGACAGACTGCAGGAGAAACCTCCGAGTTACGGGCCGCAGCAGTGTCGGCAGCATATGCTGCCGGCACGCCCACTAGTCTATGACTGGCTGGCTCGCGTCTGCACACAGTAACCCGTGTGGATGTAGCCAATCACGGACGAGTGGGCGCCGTGCGGTGATAGCCAATCACGGACGTGGGCGTGTCGGCAGCATATGCTGCAGACACTGCTGCGGACCGTGACTCGGTGGTTTGTCCTGCAAGTCTACCTGAGTTTGTCCTTTATCAATACTTCATCTAGCTCACCTATGTAGCCTCCTGTTGTATTTATAAGTTTTGAATCGATACCAGACACCACGATATGATACCAATGTTGTCTATCTTATGAAGCTACAATTTACAGTTGTTCAGGACGGTGAGATACTGTGTTATGATATGAGAATGCCGGGCAACATTTTATTCAAGATGCTTACGCCCTTTTACGACAAATCAAAGGACATGCTTTGACGTGGAGAGGTGGGCCTTTAATGTTTTCTCCACGTTAGTGTGATGTATGTATGTGCCATTGCTGATCCACCATAAATGATGTAATCGCGCTTCCACAATTGGGTATGTCGTTAGGGTGTGAATTGGGAACGCTAATATTTCATCGCTCCCAAAACCTTGGGCACAAGGTGATTCCTGATGCGTCCGCTGCGTGGAGAGACGTTTTCTCCAATTTACAAATAATGCTATCTAATGCTGGGACACACCTACCAGTTACGCTGAAAGGGTAACATCTTATGGAGAGAAATTGGTGGGGCTGGGTTTCTCCAAGTCCTTTCCTTGACTGCCTTTAAACGAGGAAAACTCACTTGTTGGCCAAACAGAGATTCTGAAAGAAGCTAGAAAAGTTTTTACTTTGAAAGCGTAAATGATTGTGAGTCTTGACGTCTTCCTTGACAAAATTGTATCAGTACTTTAGTTGCGTGTGAGCAGAAAAAAACTTTATTTATCCGAAAAAAGAACATCTTTCATCAAAGGCACATGTCACGATTGAATTGGTTTTTCTCGCTATCAACAAGTAAATTAGAGGTGCGAAGAGGACCATCAATAGAAAAAAATAGAAAATGAAATAGAAAACGTTGGAATTACGGGCTTCCTCTCGCTGTAAGCTCTATAATGGTAACAGGAGAAATACAACGTAGCGAGGAGAGGGAACACCGAGAGAACCCGGCGTAGAAGAGGATGCGGACACAGCATATGCTGAGTGCGAGTGAAACTGCCGGCGGGCGTTAAGGCAAGGCCTTAGCACCCTTGCCGCGCACTTCGAGTCTTACAGTGCAGGGCTTTCACGCTTGGGGTCCTGCTACCCCAAGCGCGCTAAGGAAGTAATTGTTAGGCAACAAATTGCAACCATAAATTGTAAGGCAAATGAACATTACTGGTGTCATCCTTACTACATATACACTGCGTCTCCCAGTTATATAGCCACCTACAAATTGTTCAAAATCTTGTATTGATAGAGTTTTTGAAAAACTACTTATAGAGAAAAATGTGTGAAATTTTGTAGCTAAGAAAATGCCAAAATTTTTACGCTTGTTTTTCCAGAAAGGTCGCTTTTCCCATGTCTCCAAATGATACAGCCACCCCGTGTTTCTTCGTTGCATTTCATTTCTGCTTGATGAAACTGATTGGCAGTCTCAATTTTTCTTTCTTAGGTTATCAGGAAAGGAAAGCAACCATTGGACTTTGAAAAGGGGCAAATGGCCGCAAAAGAGAGAGTATGCGCCAAGTATTTTCATTGCGCGGGATTTCAGTAGAAGCTACAAAATGATTAACCTTTTTGCAGGCCGCAGGAATGAAGCAAAAATGGGCTCTGAAAGCTCCTCTTTGCTTTTTGATCAAGATTAATGCGGAATTATGAAAATAACACCAATTTCATCAAGCCGTGCTCGAATTAGAGTCTTCTTTTGAACTTAATCTCCTACTGGATAGTGCTTGGTATGTAGTAAATAACTTCCAAGATCGTTCTTAAGCGGAAAGTGAAAATGGCAGTGGTTTGAAAAGAAACCGTGGCGAAACCGAGTTATTTTTGCGAGGCCAAGAGTAGCCAAGCAAACTGGGGAAAAATCCGCTTCTTGTCTGTTATGTCTTACTTTGCAACTGCTTTCCCCTTAAACTTTGCCTTGCGAATGAAAATTTTGTTCAAAAGATTTTGGGCGGAAGTGGTGTAGTGGCAAGTGGCACGCTTACCACGCGAGCGGTCCGGGGATCAAATCCTGGGTCGTGAGTCGCCGGGCCAACCAAGCCTTCCATCCCTCCGGGTCGGTTAATTGGTACCAGACTTGTCTGGGAGGACTGACTTGTACATCGGCTGGCCCCCGCAAGTCATTGTATAGGCCACATCGCATTCAAACGCCACTACGAATGTACAAATGGAAGTAGAATGCGTGCCGCATCCCAAAAAGGGATTGATCAACGGCAAATGCTTTATCCTTTATCCTTTATAAAGTTTTGAAAGCTCGAAAAAAAACTCGGTATGTTTCTGACAGCAGAAAGCTCTGCTATTACATCATACCAAGATTCATACCAATTTCTAGAAAACACTTCAGTTTGACTGTTCCATGATGCCTCGATTCCCGTCCTCAGAGCGGGACAAAGGGTGCGCATTTTGGGATGGAATGAGACTAAGTGTGGAATCTTCGGATTCTTCTTCTGTTGGCTTGGCTGGCTGTATCATGAGGGGACACAGTGTATATAAAACGTTAAATCTGTTTGTGAGTGTTGTTTGTCACAAAATTCATGACCAATTCACAGCAGCGAAGGGAATACAGTTCCAATAAGTGATGTAGAGGGTGAGATAGGAATTAGTTCGGTGGGGGATAGAAGTGATGAGAGCTGATAAGGGGCCCTGAAACACAGGTTTCACGAAAGTGATA